TGAAAACATTTTAAATATTGTTACATTATTATACATAGACCCTCACAGAGTGGTAGAAAAGTCAGGGCCCTGCCCAGTCCCTGGCCGCTGTTGTTCCTCACTGCCTGGCGCTTGGCTGCTGCAGCACGGGGCCAGGAGAGGGGTGGTAACTCATGAAACGCCAGGGCATCCCGTGATGTCCGTAGGGACCCAGAGGAATGACGCGGCCCTTGGTTATGGCAACTCAAGCAGCTCTGCAAAGCGCAGGCGTTTCTTCTCCCTAAGGAAGAGCTGTGCCAGCTTGAGCCACGGGTCTCCTCTGAAACCCCGCTAGCGGGCTGGGCTCCTGAGGTGCAGCATCGGGCCGGGGCTGCGGTTGGTGAGCATCCCTCCTCCTCCATGGTGGTATCCAATGGACCTGCATGTTTCAGTGATGGGTCTTCAACTATTCAGCCTTCCTCTGGATAACTGTTGACCTCCTCTGCTCACAGCAAGATGCTCTTTAAGACTTTAAATTCTTGTTATTTAATCAAGGCTGTCTTTGTGAAGATATAGGGAAACTCCTTCCTAGCTGTTTCTCTTGTTTTCCTTTCCCATATTTCCCGGTTCCGTAATTCCTCAGTGTCTTGCTGGGACAAGCTGGTGTTTTCCAGGCAGTGCTGCTTGTTTGTTGGAAAATTTTGAGCTCGCACATCCCATGTTCATGCACTAACCACTGTACTGCAGTCTCACTGTCTTAACTGTTTACACAAAGGAATGAACCTGTCTCCCCTACTCCATACAAGTATTGGGAGCTAATCAGACACCTTTGTCCAGAGGTCTCCTTCTCTTGTGCCGAATAATCAAAATCCTCTTGCCTTGCCTTGCCAACAGGGTATGTCCAAGCATGTCGAGCACTGATGATTGCTGCCTCCGTCCTGGGTCTTCCCGCTATCTTCTTGCTGATAACAGTCTTGCCCTGCATCCGAATGGGCCACGAGCCTGGAGCTGCCAAGTACCGGCGGTCGCAGCTGGGAGGGATCCTCATCATCCTCCTGGGTAAGGCGCCCACCGGCCCCGCGTGTGTGCGGAGCTGGAGGTCTTCTTCTGCTCCAGGACAATGTGGTGCAAGCTGATTGAGCACGTTCACCTGAAAGTACGGTTGTCCAGGCTGGGCTGACTCTGAAGCTCTTCAGCATCGCTGCAGACTGTGGGGCGAACAAAAGGCACGAACAGGAGTGGGAGGACAAAGAGAGGAGGCAGGGAGCAAAGCAGGGCGAAGAGGGGAGGGCTGTGAACCCCTTGTCTTGTGGAGTCCTTGGGCATGGCCACCGCCTGTGTCTGCGGGAGGGCGATGGCCGTTGCACGCAGGCAGCTGCCTGCAGGCAATGGTTTTGCTGGTTCGCTGTGGAGGCGATGCTATTTTTGGAAAAGGGTCTAAACTCCCAAGCTGTTTACTGGGAAAGGATAGCCTCCGAATTTTCCCTGGGCATCGCAGATGCAGCCAGGTCAAAGTAAGCTGAGTTGTGTAAGAGGGGTTGAGGTGGTGCTGGTGCTGCGGGGACAGCACGGTAGGGCGCAAGGAGGTGGCACGGACCTGGGAAGAGGGGTGGCATGTTCCCTGTGCCTCCCAAACCCCTCTGACCAACCTTGCCCTTGGCCTCCAAGTTCCCCTGGGAATTTCTTCCTGTCCTCAGTGTCTGCAGAGATTGTTTTGAGCAGTGCAGACTGTGGAGCTCATTGTCCCCAATGCAACACCTGCATGTTCTTGAAGCCTCATCATCTCAGCAACAGCCTGCGGTGCCTTGTTTTCACCCGTCCGTGTGGCAGAGGAGGAGGGGTGAAGGAAAGTGGCCTCTTTGTGTGGCTCTGCTGGTCGCTGGCAGCCCATGCTGACATCATGCCCATCTTCTTTCTTCTTCTTCTTCTCCTTATTTTTTGTTCAAGTGGGCACCGGCTATAGCTGCAGGCTCGGAGGGGCTGTCCTCTGGACACTCCTTCCTTGCGCGTGGTCCTTCCCCCGGTGCCTTGGTGAGAAGCAGTTGGTATGAGTTGGTGCGTCCAAAATCTAGGAGACTGAGACTGAGACCGAGGGGTCTGTGGGGCTTAAGGGCCTGTTGCCATAGCTGGAAGTCCTAAAATCAGCTTTATACAGGGCCTGTTTCGGACATCCCGATCATGAACAGCCACATTAGAGAGCTGTTGGAACATCCCTGTCCCGAAACCTTCAATCATGTATTTGGGCTTCGCAAAGTGAAAGAAAAAGGTTTTTTTTCTGCCTGTGAAAGAAATTTTCATGCTGGAGGAGTCTGCTCTGCTGGATTTCCCTGCCTGGGATGGGGGAGGCCCAGCAGAGCTGCGCTTGGTCACAAACAAACGCAAGTTTTTGGTTCCAGTCCAGGAGAACCGTGCTGTGGATCAGCACCGTTTGCATGGCTGCAGACATGGAGATGAGAGCATTGCCCCTAAATCTGCTTTGCCGAAGGGCAACAGGATTACAGAACCAGCACAGAGGCAGCAAACAACTTGCAGGGGCAGCGTTGGGTAACGCTGCACTAGAATAAGTGAAATCTCACATCTCACAGTGTTGCAGCGGGGTTCGGGGTCTCGTGTGCCACTTGCCCATCCTGGTCCTGCTGCGCTGTGACTCCAGGCAGGAGAATGGATGTAAGAGGATGAGGGAGAGGAGTTGTGGTGCTCCAAAAGCCAGGCTCCTCTCTGCCTCAGAACATGGCTTTCCTACTGAGTAGATCCTGTGAGGAAAGGAAACGTGTATTTACATAGACATTGGCAGACGAATGCTCTTTGGGTCAGATTTGGACTTCTTGCTGTTTTTTACCCCTGTGAGTTTTGAAGTATTTACAGGTGAAGTGATTTGCTCATGTTGCTGATACCCTGAATGATCTAGGCTGGGAACAGCAGCTTGGTCACAATGTTTTAGGCACAATTACAATAATGCTCCTTTTGTCAGATCACAAATGAAGAATAAATAAGGTCCTTTTGCTCTTAAGTTGTTGTGTTGGTTTTTTTTGTTTAAACAACAACAACAAAGCAACCCACATGTATTTTTACAAAACCCAACTTTTTCCAGGCTGATCAACAAGACGGTCCCTTTGGAAGGAGAATAATGTACAGAGCTCAGGACTTTGACATTATTTCAGCTGATTAATGATCTGTTATTTGCAAAATGAGGTATTACCATTCCAGAGCATTTAATAAGTATGAATAAGGCCTCAAAAGACATAATACTGACTTAAAATTCATTATACTCTGAAAGTAATATACCTCGGACTGTTCTTATTTACCCTCTGGCCACTGAACTCTCGTTTGTGGTTTTCCACAACCGCATGGGCTCCGGCCTTTTCCTCTAAGTGGAGACCAACTCCCAGAGCTCTGGGTAAAAGAAAACAACCCCCAAAACACTCGCTAATGTAGCAGAATAGAGATGTGATGAGAGGAGCTGGCCCCATGGCAAACTTCACTTGTTGCTCGGGGAAGGGATGGCAGTTTGGCAGCGAAATGTATTAAAAGAGGAAAACAGGGGTTGAACTGGTGTGGGGGGAAAAAAAAAAAAAAGAAAAACAAGCAAAAAAGTTGAAAACTTGCCAGGAAAGCAATGGGTTCAGATATTCCATTGATTTTTCTGTCCGCTGATAATAGCAGGCTGCAGAGTGCAACCTGTGTGCCCACCCTCCTATCCTGCCTGCTGATGTATTTATGACTTCGCTTGATCCTATCTGTCCGAGAGAATTGATTTATTGCCGAAAACAACCGTCAGCAGAGGTTTGCTCTGAGCCAGTATGAAAACATTTTGTACGCTAGTGTTGATGGAAAAACCCTGGCCCATCCTGTGTTGTTGATACTAATTTCGGGGGCCCCGTGCTGGTAACCGAGCGGGTATTTTCCTAATGGAGGTGAGGGACCCGAGAGGCTGGAAAACACAGATGAAAAATACCTTAGTTATTGGCAATTACTACTGAAAAATTACCGTATTAGCTATTGCATACTAAATAAAGGATATTAATAAGTTTTTCTGGACATTGCATGAGATTTACTTGTAAAACCGTAGATATTAAGACAAAAAGATTGCTTTGAGTACAGAAAAAAAAAATCATGGATGTCTATTATTTCAACCAGATGCTTTGAAAGAGAAATCTGTGTGACTTTTTGAGTCAGCAACCCAGAATGATTAAATTTAGCTGTGAAAGAGAAGTATTCTTGTTCTGCAGAAAGCCTTTAACTTACTGTTAAGGAATTTGGCAGGGACTCACTGTCCTTTGAGTTAGAGTAATCCTGCTCTGTCTCCCCCACCTCCCCAAGCACCTTCTGTGCTTCTTGTCTATGTGCACTTCCATCTGATTAAAATATGCCTGTAATGTAGAATATTAAGAGTTTCAGCTCAAGGCATTGAGCCACTGCAAGTTCGCAGTCAAAAAGAACTTAGAAAAGCGGGAGCCTGGGATGTGTCCCTGTGGATTCACAGTGATCTGACGGAGCAAGGACAACCCTACCAGCAATTACTGAGATGACTTCTGCAGGTAGAGGCAGTGGCTTTACAAGACTGCCTACTCTAGCTGCAAAAAGCAGGCAAGCTTTCCAGTGTCTGTGCACCCCAAAATACGCCTGTTGTTCCAGCTAACACAGTTGATCTAATAGAAAATATTCCTCCTGTTTGCAGACTTCTTTTTCTGCTAGACTATATTGACCACAGCAGCTCTACTCTCTGAAGACATTCATATTTAGAGAGAGGCAAAGGGTCTCAGCATCAGCACAAAAGCAAAGGGGTAATAATTTCTATTCAAAGAGTTCACCCTTGTAGACAGCTATTTTAGTACTTGAAAATTGCCCTAAAATGCCTTTTCCAATCCCTTAGGGTTTCTTGGCAAATCAACTTTTCTTCAGCCTTTCTCTGTGATCCAGCTAGACCAAAATTCGAGTCCACCAAGAAATACTGCAATTGCAGACCACCCTTTTCCCATCTTCTCAGAGGATTTACAACCCAATCTAATCTACACAGAGCAATGAAATCCAGTCCGGTTTCAGGGCGTTCCTCTTGCTGAGCAACGGGGTCACCGGTGACTGACGGCAGCTGGTAGCCTCCGAAGACAGAGAGGTCAAACTAACCCATGCAAAGTCCTTGGCTTGTGTTTCACAGCTTGCTAGTATTGTCAGCATTAAAATAAGGTGGTTTTACATGTAGTAGAGCCGCATGCACAAGAGATGCCATTGTGTTAGCGTCCCTGAGAGCTCTTCTCACCCCACTGCAAGTGTTTTCTTCGATCCTGTGTTGTGGGGGAGGGTCTGGATAGATAAGGCTCTTATAGTCTATGGACATAAATATATATATATATATTTACTGCTGACAGAAAAAGAAAAGATGATTGTGTTTTTTCGGACAACAAAGAAGCTTTTTTCCAGAGCCCATTAGAATGCTTTGTGGATTCCCAACTGATACATTTTTGTTTTAAAGCGTTAGAGGGTCATGAGCTGTGTGCAGGACGGATCCACACGCAGGAGAAATGCTGCTCTCCCCTCCCTGCCTTCTCCAGAAATTCCTTCCAAAGCCACAGGGTCCTTGCTTTGAGGAGGCCCAAAATTATTACTGGCTTTATTAGCATCCTTCAAATGTTCTTCTCTTTTCCATAAGAAAATATTTTCTCTCACAATAACTACAGCTATTGAGGATGGGTTTTCTGCTGTACGGGCCAGGAGTTATGGTTTGTTCTTCACTTTAACTAAACAACTTTTTTTTTAATCCCCCCCCCCCCCCCCTTTTTTTTTTTCTCCTATTGCAACCTTAACTTTTTGACACTGCCTCCAGATACCTTTTAATGCGGTCGGTGGAAATCTGTAACGCTGCCACGGTCCTGTTATTGTTTTGCTCTGATTCTCTGATAGCCACAAGGATGGAGTCCTGCACAGCTTGTCCCAGAGGCAAGTAAATATTGACAGATTAATTCTTCTCAGATGTACAGGCCATAAAAGAGTATTGTTTTAGGATCTGCTCCTGCGAGGTGATTAACACCATCAACTCCTGTTGCCCTCGATGCCTGTGGGGACTTTGCAGGATGGAGGTAGCACCCTTAGTGAGGGTGGTGAGTGTGACCTTGTGTAGCACGAGGAGAATGCAGGGCACGTGTTTTCTCCCTGCTTGGAGCAAACCACACGTGTGTGCTGCACACTGAAACACTGTGGTCCCTAGCCTGGCTGCCTGCAAGGTGCTGCGTTTGAACCCACTTTACTGTCCTGAGGGTACCCGCTTCACACATCCCCCACCTAGCACTCCTCGCAGCGCCACCGTGGCAGCCTTCCTGCTTTTCGTGAAAAAAAAAAGAAAAAAAAAAAAGAAAAAAAAAATCTATGGAATGTCAAGCTAAATTTGAAGTCTGCAGTTATTTTTTGACCCACTGTAGACTCTAGGTAAAATACTGTTTTCCCTTCAGATGAGGTCCCATTTCTATTCAATTCAGTAGGTTCCTGGGGAGCCTTGCTGGGTTTGTCCCCATCACTTTGACACAGAGAAATTTCCCGCAGGGAAGCAGTGTCTGCTTTCCAGAGTTATGAGACATTTCCTTCTCCATAGAAAACCCCGCCAATGCTGTACTGCTGCTTATTTTGTCCCTGCCCATTTTCTGCTTGTATTTTATAAACCCTCCTCTGTCTTGCTAAGTGCTGGGATACTTCATGAATGTTTATGTGACCATTCAGTAGAGCAACTGCGGTGATGCTGATTGACGTGGGCTGAGGACGTAGCACGTGAGTGCATGCAGAAATAGCAATTTAAACCAGTTGACTCTGGGCCACGGATTTTACTGTCTCACCCATGCATACAGCTTTTGTGGTCTTGCTTCATATCTAATCTATTCCTAGTTCTGCAGCTCTCCAGAGCATCAATTTCAGGGATGACTTTCCTTTTTCCCCCTTAAAGATATTTCTAGGGAGCAAATCTGTTTCCCTTGTAATAAATAGACCAGACTCTGTCAAGCAGCAGTTGTTGTTTTCTTTTTGTTTGTTGGTGCTTGAGGGAGATGGCTGTTCTCTCTTGATCTCTCTCCCACGCTGCCCCCTGCTCAGAGATCCCTTGGGCCAAGCCCTGATGCTGATGCTCCTGGGTCCCTCCATGGGAGTGCAAGGGAGGAGAGATGGGCTTCCTCTCCGTCCCCTGTCCTGCAGAGCCTTCCCTCCCTTCGGTGTGCTTTGTGTCCCCGTGGTGGGGTTACCTGCTGGAGTCACCTTTCCTTTCCATCCCTCTCCAGCCATGTGCGGCGTCGTTGCGACCATCTGGTTTCCTGTGTGCGCCCACCGCGAGACCACCATTATGAGCTTCGGCTACTCCCTGTACACGGGCTGGATCGGCTCTGCGCTCTGCCTCTTCGGCGGCTGCGTCATCGTCTGCTGCTCGGGAGATGCCCAGACGTTCGGTGAAAACCGTTTCTACTACGCCTCGGGATCCAGCTCCCCCACCCATGCAAAGAGCGCTCACGTGTAAGCGTCCTGGGGACGTCCCACGGCTGCCGTCGGATGCTTTGGCTGGTGGGTTTGCGTGCCCTGGGTTTGCTTCTGCTGACGTGCACCGCTGTCAGGCTCCCAGGGGAAGATTTAGAAAAGCAGCACAAATGTCTGGTAGTTTGAAGTGTTATTCTCCCCATCTGTTCCCCCCTTCTCTAGAAAAGAAAGCTCCAGCCAGCCCTACCTCTTGGTCCTTCCCGTTTTGTCTTGACCACCGCTCCCCCACCTTCTTGCAGCCAGGATGACCCAGATGGTTTGGGGCTGTCATGTGGGTTTTAGGGTTCTAATTTTATTTTCTAGCTCCCCTGATTATAGGAGAGTTTAAAGCAATAAAACAGAAACGAGAGAGACACTTTCCCGTTGTTAGAAGGACTCTGGCTGCTTCTCCCACCGCGTCAGGATTTGCTTTCCCCTGTTCAAGGTCACTGCTTTGGCACGGTTTGGGATGAGGGTAGGGAGGAAGGCTGTACTCTTCAACCGGGCAAATGTTTCTCTTTTGGAACAAGAGTAGGGGAAATTTTTCTGCCTTTCTCTGTAAATACTTTTGTATGAGTTTGGTCATGTTAGTAACAGTACTTCCCCCACCCCCACAGTCATCAGTATGAAGGAAAGAGAACTCAAAGGTCTTAATTACATGGTAGATAACAGTGCCTTTTTATATAGTTTTAAATGACTTTGGGGGCTCTAATCCCCGCACTCTGGTTTGGTTTCTTTTTTTCCTTTGTACAGATCAGTTACTAAAAATGTATTTTTACATTTTTTTAAACTCCTTGCTTTCTTCCTCTAAGTTTGTGTTCTGCCTTGCATCGTTAAAGTAGCACATTTTAACACAGAGTATAATGTACCTGTTACAATACAATTCTGGTGAATACTGATGATGCCTTTGTACTTTCAATGAAATACTGTACAATAAATAACAGAGTGCCTGCAACCACTGGCTTCTTTCCTGCCTTCCTTCCCCTGCGTGTTTCCATAGCTAGCTTTTCCATGACAGGGGTTTCCCAATGATTTTGAAGATTTATTTTTTTTTTTAATAGCAGTTCAGGATGAGACGTTCTGCTCTACTGTGGGATTAAGTGGAACTTTTGGGGTTTTTTGGAATATTTAAAATATGAGTAATCTTCCTGCAAGGTAATGACCGCTGGCCTATCCGTTTGTTCTTTCAATGCTCCCGATAGCAGCTTGCACCAGAGGTATGGACTCGTGGTTCTCTTTCACATCAGGGATGCTTAGAAACCCACTGAGGTGGTGGAGATGCACCCCCAGCACTGCCTGGGCGTGCTGAAGTTGATAAGTCATGTTGCTGGAAGTGCTCTCAACTAAAATAAGAGTCTGATCTGGGGTCATCGCTCTCTTTGATTAAAACCGTGTAAGATCAAGATCTAACTCAGTCCTTATCAGAGGCTATAGCAATTTAATTACGTTGATACAAAATCCCATCTGTTCCTGGAGATGTTAACTCAGTTCAAGTAATTTGTGTAAGCCAGGCTGCAGGAGCAGGAAAAGAGGAATAGCCGCTGTTCAAGCGTGGACAAGACAGAGAGCCCAGGTGGTGTTGCGTGTAGGAGGACCGGGGACTGAGCACGTGGAGGAGAGGGCCAGCCAAATTGTTTGGGATGATGGGGAAGAACTTGCAAACGAGGCTGCTAGTCAAGCCTCAGTGGATTATGGACTGTCCTTTCATCTTTGTCTACTTCAGTTGGAGAATCCAAACCGGGCAATACAGCCGTAGGCAAGGATGCTGCAGCTCCCACACCTTGCCTCCTCCATGTGGGAAGCCAAGGTGGAAGCATTTAAAAGGAGTGAATAAGGAGGCTCCAGGAGGGGCTGTTCATGTCCCAGGCTGCCTGCACGTCACCCTCCAGCTCCGACACGCAACCCCAGCATCTGCCTTTAAGACCGAGCGGTCTTGAACGCGTCTCTGTTGTGCAGGCTTTGCATCGCTGCCATCCTATACAATGTACCCAAGGCGGGCAGCGGCGCGGGGCTGGCGGTAGGACACTTGTGCCCATTACATCACAGGCAGGGCACAGGCAGTTGTTGTATGCGCTGGAGAGACACTATAAGTGCTGCCATTGATGTGCGGGTGCCACGGGCGAAGGGGTAGCGCACAGACGTGCCAGCTTGTGCAGGCTGCCCGGGGATTGTGGATTGTGCGCCGCTGCCCGTGGCTTTAGCCAAGTGGTGGCTCTGCCGGTTAACCCCGGGGCCGACGGCGGTGTGGGAGACCTCAGAGCAGAAAGCTGCTGGAACGCTGCCCTGTAAACGGCCCTGGAGTGAAAGGGGAGGGAAAAGCACAGGGAAACTTGTCCAAGATGCTTGAGGCGGGGGTTGGCAAAGCGTTGGTGTTGCCGGAGGGGCCCAGGCAGTCGTGCATGACCCAACGAGGACTGAGCACTGCCAGGCAGTGCTTATGGGTTTTTTGCTGCCCACACCAATGGACTGCAACTTGACATCCTCAGGCACGTAGGACTGGGGACCCTCGGCAGGGGCTGGGGACCCTCGGCAGGGGCTGGGGCTCTGCTCACCCTGCCCACAGTCACAGGTTACCAGTGGCCGATCTCAAATCCAACCCTTAAAAGGCTCTGGGCAAGCTGCTCAGAGGAAGGAAGAAGCTTTATTTCAGGGAAAAGAAGAAAAGTCCAAACAAACCAAAACAACCCCGGAGCAGCCGCGGGGAAAATGGACGTCTGCAACCGTGGGGTGTGAGGAGATGGGGCCAAGAATGGGACAGGATATTAGTGCTGGCACCGCAGAGGGGAAGTGTTTGGAGGAAGCACAAAGAACATTAAACTTTTCTATTTTTTAAAGGATCAAAGCTGAAATACCTGCTTTGTGCCCGCCCAAAACACCTCGCTCCCCTGTAGGGTTCTCCCGGGCTGGCCATGGTGCTGTTGGCTCTTGAAGGTTTTTGGTGCTCGTTTGCTGACCCGAAGCCTCAAAATAGAGTCAAATATAATTCTCCTGAATGGAATGACTGCTCCACGCCATGCCAATGTCAGCTGTGGAGTGGTGCGTGTGAGCTCTGGTGGTCACTCCGGCGTGGAGGTGGTGGTCCCCGATGCCCCAGTGGAGCCCTCCCCGGCTCCACCAGGACCTGTCCATAGCTGCCCACCACCGGGAGCACACCTAGAACCTCCCCATTCCCCAAATAATAGGAATAACAGGAGGGACGCCATGGGGGGACACTTGTGGCCCTGAGCACCCCAAAGGGGAGAGGGGGCTGTGTCCCCACAAGCGATGCCTGCCTCTCCACGGCCCCGGTGCCCGTGCAGGGGGGTGACGGGGCCGTGACACCCCGGTTACCCCAAGGAAAGGTGGGTGCAGGCAGCACCACAAGCAGACTGGAAGATGTCGGCGCTCCCCGGGGCATTGCACTGCAATAGTCGACTTGCGGTTGTTTGCTTTAGGTTTTTTTTTTCTTCTTTTTTTTTTTTTTTATTGTGTAAACTGATAACCATTTTTTTTTCACAACAGTGCAAGTAAATACCAAAGTTAGCCCATTGAAACGGGTCTTCTACAAAGGAAATTTTGAAGCACGTAAGGCAAGATTTGTTCATCTCCAGCTTCAATTTAGCATTGAACATGTATCAGATCTTCAGGTACTGATTGACTTAACAAAATTTATATGGGATTTTTTATTTTTCTTATTTTTTTGATTTAGTCTTTCATTTAAAAGATTTACATTACTATGGAGACTGATACTAAGACACATTTTTCTCTGGCTTTCTTTAAAAATCCATTATTTCCTATTTGATTTTTAAATGTAAAGGCACACAATAAAGCTTTATGCATTTATTAAAATATACAGATTTTGGTAAATTTAGATTTTTTCTTAGTATCTTGATAATATATATATATTATATGTATAGTTGTCAACAACACAATCATTTGAAAATAAAAATCACTCCATAACATATCTGCATATTTTTTTTCTTTCTCATGACACACTACAAGATCCCATTGTACAATGCATCAATGGGCTTTTGGAAACCACGAAAAAAAATTAATTAATAGAACAAACTTTTTTTAACAAATACACCAATTTCATACCAGAACTGCAGAGAATTGTTACACCAGAAAGTACCATCTGCAAAAAAAGCAAGATATACATCAGAAAGACCGAACAAAACAAAGTGAAGATCATTTAGAAGCTGGATTTACAACATCCCATGTCGTTTCGGGGTGTGATTTCTCTGCCGCGTGGAGGATGCCGGTGTGCTGGGCCTCGTAACCGAGTGGTCCTAACTGTGTGGAGTGAATCTGTGGAGGGACTGAGATCTTATCGAGTCGGTCTGGAAGGTTTGAGGTATTTCTGCTCCATCTGTATCATGCATTGGGTGCCCCGGGATGCGTGCCCTGTGGAGGGGGTCAGGCATGGGGGGGCTGTGCGGGTCTCACCGGTGGTGGGAGCGAGGTGGTACCGCTCTGCCTGTGTCCGCCTGATGGGTCAGGGGTGTGAGAACCTCCCTGAGGGCACCCAGGGGGAAAGGCTGCATGTTGAGGTTACAGCAAAACAAGAACTTGCACCTCCTCCCAGCATCCGAAACCGTGCCCGGGGGCCAGCGGTGCCCAGAGGTGATGGACACGTCCGGACATTTTGGCCTTTGCAGATTTTGTTTGTGCCCACTGAAGACCCCAACGCCTGCTACAAGGGAAAGCGCCCGAGCTCCCAAATGAGGGCTGAACCCGCATGTCCCCCAGGCACTGCTGCTCAGAGCAGGGTCGGGGGAGCCTGCGGCTCGCCTGCCCCCTCCCCACTCTCCCCAA